ATTGTGAGACAGTGGGTTGTTTGGGTCGAGGACACTGTGTGGGGATCCAGAGTGGGCCATCAGGGGGTGACATGCTCGGTGGTGAACTCCAGTAGTCACTTTGCAGTCAACAGCAGGTTCCCCCAACATCCGCTTACCCAGGAGAAGTCAGCTTCGGGACACCTGAGCAGCGAACTCTGCTGACGGTCAGCACTTGCTCAGGTGGACAGCCTTGCTGCAAACCCTCCTAGCTCATCCCAGTTTCCAAGAAGCCAGTCGTCTGTGCCCAGGGCAGTAGCCATGGATGACCCACAGACTGGCCAGGGAGAAAGATCTGACACCCTCTGCGAGCCATCTTAGCTGGGACACGTCCGCCCCTTCCTCCTCTCAGCCCTCACATGAAGCCCTCTCTTTTCCAGACAGAGTATCTGGGACTTCTGTTTTTGACCACCATCTTCTCCATGGCACCATGATATTCTGCATGGCTCTGTATTCAGTACCGCTGGTTTCCACTGTAAGTCTGCCTGCTTCATGCATCGGAGGCATCATTCAGAGTAGGGGCTTCACTGTCCTCCTGAAAGCATGCGTGGCACCAGAAAGTTAAGAAGTCTGTCCTGAAGCACAGTGCTGGGGGCTGGATGCTGTATTTTGAGTGTGACCTTGTCACTGCAGGGTGGCACAGGACCATCCGCTACTTGACTCTGGAGAGGCAGTGGAAGTTCATGCTCATGCTGTTGACAGCTCTGGGTTGGGCGGATCATCCAGTGAAATTCTGGGGGTGTTTCACCTCTTTATCATCAGGGTGTCTGTTAACTGCAGCACCTGGCTGTCTTACATATACATTCTGAGTTTCCTCCTATCAGTTTGAGACCATCTACTAACAAGGGTAGACCATGTCTAACGTCCTTGACAGCTTCATAAATGTCACAGGATGGGCCTGGGGTGACCCGCTCCGTCTCCACCCCTAATTGACAATTACTGTGGTCACTTGATGGAGTGACTTGGTATTCACACTTACTCTTTGTAAGTCCAGCGTGACTGCTGGACGAAGTTTGGTCCATACGTTCTTTCTGAATGTCCACGTCATCCATCAGCGCATGATCATGTTCTCAGGGAAATTCTTGAACTCCACTCACCCACCACACCCTGGCTCATAGTCACGACAGGTCATCTGCTGCTGGCTGCTTTTCATTCACTTCCGTATTCCAGGAATAGATTTTCTTCTCAGCTGTGGCTCTGCGAGCCGTGGTCCTGGTCTGCTCTGCTCACACTGAGCTGAGTTTGTGTGGACCATGTGCAGAGTGGGCTGCCCTGAGAACACCGCCAGCTGGGCAGTGCCTCCAGCAGAGATGTAGTTCTTGCCATCCTTGAGGACAGCAGCTCACGGTCAGCCTGCTTCCTGCACTGGTGTCTGCAGTGGGCTGTCCTCCCCCACCGCCCAGGGCCTTTCTCAGAGTCTTTGGGGTTGCTTGTGTTCTTACAGGATGCAGCCCCAACATGCATGAAAACCCCACCCTAGAGCCAGTTAACTTTCCCCAGTGCCCTGTGCTTTATTCCAAATATGGCCATTGGGGGTTGGAAGGAGCGGACACTGAGACAGAGCAGGACGCTCCTCTGTGGCCCCTCCACACCCCAAGTCCAAGTGGATCCAGCCGCACCGGCTCATGGGCCCCTGTGTCACTCTCACCCCCCTGCTGGAGCCCAGCTGGCTGCTGTCAGGGCTTCATGAGGCCACTGGTGGCGGCTTCGTGTCAAGTACATCAGTGGACTTCATTCAGGGGAGGGTGCTTCATAGCCACCACCTGCAGGAGCTGAACACGGTGGTTTAGAATAATGGGGGGGGGGGCAGAGGAACGCAGGAGAACACTGCAGAGGCATCAGGGTTCCACCCCAGAACTGCCACCACCCCTAAGCCCCGCACCGCCACCAGCGCTGAATAGACACCCTGAGCCAGAATTCATGTCTTCTGAGTCCAGAAGTTCTGGTTCTGAAAATGATCTCAGTTCACTTCAGTCTCATAGCTTTTTAAAGCTAGTCTTCACAGACTGAACTGTGTTTCTTAGAGGAAACTTTGGTAAAAATATAATGAGATCACCTGTAAAATTGCTCAGCCTTTAAATGCATTCATTTCCTGGATTTTCTTTTACATAGTTGTATTATGTATTCATAACTGTATATACACATACACATTTATGCACACAGATACATATATATGGATATAAGCATGTCTACACACATATCTACACGTCTACATGTGTATGTGTATCACCCCATCCAGGGATGCGCACCCACACATGCAGTCCATAGCTGGCATTCTTTTCATTTAGATCTGGAGAGCGTGTCCTTTTGCACACACAGTGTGCCACAGAACAGCACTTGGCTTTGACCACAGGGCTCGCGTACTGACCTCCACCAACATGGGCGCACTCGGAAGGAGAATTCACACTTGGTTAGGCGAAGAACTCGTTTTTCCTTTTCTTTGGGTTTTTAATCAATGACAATTTAATGATGAGATAAAAGGGGTGATGGCCTTCCCTTCCAGGGCTGGCTTATCATCCTCCGGGACCAGCCGGCTTCTCTGGCAGGTGCCAGCCTGATTCAGGCTCCGTCATAGCTGTCCGCTCCAGGGAGTGATTTCATTCCTGGTCATTAGAGCTACCGAGTGTGAACTTTCTAACAGACTGCATTTCCAGTTGTTACTGGCTTCCATTTTAATTACAGCTTCTTCTCAAGAAAACTAGATATCAGTTGAAAATCCATACATATGCACACGCACACATGTGCACACACATGCACACACATGTGCACCCACATGCACACACACACACCCACACTGTGCTCTGTGTCACCCTCTATCTCTGTTTTCTTCTGCACCTAAGGCATATTCGTGCTGGTCCCAGATGGTGACAGAGATGAAGTCACCTGAGTGGGAATTAAGGGCATGGAAAAGAACTACTTGGGGCCAGGCAAGGCTCTTGTAAGAGAACCAGTTGTTATGTTTTAAAATCTGAGAATTTCCCGGGCGTGGTGGTGCACGCCTGTAACTTGGGAGGCTGAGGCAGGAGGATCATTGCGAGTCGGAGACCAGCCTGGGCAATGGAGTGAGCTCAAGGCCAGCCTGAATGCACGGTGAGACCCTGTCTCCAAAAGACCAAAAATAAATAACTAAATAAATAATAAAACCTGGACTCTGAGGGCTGGTGTGGAGAGTAGAACTGTTTGTTGAGTGTAAACCACACGCTGCTGTGTGTACTGACGATTGAATCCCCACGACCCTGTCTTGTGAGGCCGTGATTCTGAAAATCTTGAACACGAGGCAGACGGAGTGAAAGAGGCGCTGACCTGTGCAGTGCTAGATTCTTCCTGAACTCGTCCCCGGTCAGCTTTGCCCAGCGCCTGCCGCCTGTGCCCAGCTGACACAGATTTCAAGGTTGTCAACAGGGCAAGCTGATTGTAGTTCTCAAAGCCACTGAAAGTGGGCGCCTGTGAGTGTAAGAACACTTGCGCAGCCAAGCAAACACAGCGTGCGTTCTTGCTTCCCGTGCACACTGTCCTAATGAATTTTTAACTGGTTCTGCAGCCCTTCGAAGGCCCTAGGAAGCTGAAGAGAATGCTGTGTTTTCTTCAGTTTTACTTGATTTTGAGTCCTCAGCTAGCTCCGTGTCCTTAGTGCCCTCCTCCCGTGTGACTGCCCTGGACCGAGCCCCTGCGTGTTAAACCCACGTGTGTGAGCTCATGCCGGAGGCCCCCTCCCTCACGCTGCTCTGGGCTCTGGGCTCACGAGATCCGTGGAACTTCGCTGTCTTTCATGAACCTCCAGCCAGAGGCTCCAACTAACCTCTCCCGCTGAGCTGGCGCTGCGAACCAGCCCTCGCGCGCAGTTCCATCTTCATGAGTGAAAGAAAGCTCCGTAGAATCAGCCGACAGCCTCGTTCCAGCAGTTCCACAGGCAGCAGTACGTGTTGTCCCATTTAGAGTGCCGTTCTGCAGCATTTAGGTCTACAAGACAAATAAGCTCTTGGAGTTCTTCAACCTCATTTTAATTTAAAGATAATCAGCTCTTTGCCTGAGAAAATAACTCCCCACCTACCATGTGGACAGACACCTGGCATTTCTCTGTCTAGCAAGTGGTAAAGTGTTGCTTTCTGTATTAAGAGATAAGGACGAAAATGCAAATACCCTGGGTGGAAATCACATTTATCGAGCTCTACTTAGGCTGCCCTGCACATGAGTGACAGGAGAGTCCATCCCCAAAGGAGGCTGACCTACCACAGCGCAGGGGAGCATGTGTTCAAGGTGGCGCCCAGAGCGCTTTGATTCTTAATGCTGTAAGTCTGGCCTTTAAGAAAATTATTTACTGTAGAAGTCACATTTTATGCCAAGGGTAAGTTCAGAAGTCAGTGTGAATTATCCAACATGTGTCACATGGTAGAAAAATCTCTTGAAAATCCCTTGCCGACCCACTAACATTCAGTTCTGTACCACTGCCCGAGACGCACTGTCCCCAGCTCCAGCGGATGACCAGATTGCTGCTTCCTCGGTGAATTCCGGGTTACCTGGAGGCTGCTTAGATCACAAAAGTGCGCACGCATGTTCATTGCAGCCAGGTCCTCTCCAAGGACAAGAGCCACAGGCGACCGAGTCTCCGGGTTCACTGCTGTGGACGTGCCCTGCCTGCGCATGCTCACACCAAGTCGCTGATACCTACATGGCCAGGGTGGAAGGCGAGATTGTTGTACACCTATTGAAACATTTTCTCATTTCTTTTCCTCTGTTGCGGATACAAGAGTTGAATCTGCACAAGTTAAAATCCTCTGTGCACCACTCTCGGATGCTTCTTAATTTCACTCTGTTTTTACTGGGAAGATACAGCCACCATGGTGAAGAGTGGGGTACAGTGGGCCCCCCTGGTTCCATGTCATGAAAATAGCAGATCACACTTCTGGGCCTTTGCTGGAGGACATGGTGGGTGGATAGAGCAGTGTCCCCCTGATGGTGATGACCTCTCTCTCTCTTTCCAGGCTGGTCCATTCGGGCCCGGGGAAGGGCTCACCCCATGCTGGTATGGATCTGTCCTTTGCAACTCGGACTGGTACCAAGCAAGGGATTGAAACACATCTCTTCCGGGCAGAGGTCAGCAGGGACCTCTCCCAGTGGACGAGGAGCATAGTACAGGGATGCCACAACTCGGCCGAGCTCATCGCTGAAGTCACCACGGGTGAGTACTGCCGGGTGTGACCACCAGCCTCACATGGTTATGGAAGGACCCACCCTGTGCTCTGGCCTGCTCTGAAAGGAGTGTGTCCTGGGCTTTTGAGCCAGTTAAATCCCAGCTGCAAACCGTGCTATATTCTGCCTTTTACTATCTGCCAGCTGGGCATTTTATAGAATACCTGGGGTTCTTCCAAACAAAAAAATTGTGTTTTCCAAATTAAATAATTGAAGCAAGCCTGACCTTTAAAAAAGGAAATAAAATGGAATCGAGGTATCAATGTTAATATTGTTTTCACGTTCTGCAAAACGTTTTCATTTGTATACACGGGCGTCCTGACCCAGTGCCCTATCAGTCTCATGTGACCTGCACCTCCCTTGTCACCTGGACATATCAGGAAACAAATTCTGAAGGAAGGTTAAGAAGCTTGTCCAAGACCAAGCCGTCAGCTCTGGGCCCTGTTCCCCTGAAGTCTGGCCCCTGTCCTGCAGTGTCCACAGAGACCTGGGCCTCCCTTTTTGGAACAGGGAACCAGCAAGCACCAGTTTCGTGCAGGCTGCTGTGATGAATAATTTTCATGCCACTTTAAAGTCCTGTGTATCTGCTAAGGCAGCCTCCGTGGTTAAACCATCAGCCCGCACAACACACAGTTAGCAGGATCTGTGCTCTTGTGCCCCGTCCAGAGACCTGAGGCACCCCGGTGTGGGTTCTGAGACCTGTGACCCACGCCTTCCCGTTCCCTGCGGACACATACACAGAGGGCACCGTGTGACCCGTCACAGCACAGTCAGCTGTAGTCGTGTCGGAACTCTAGCTGTGGCATTTTTAGGATTGCTTTTTGTTTCTTCATTTTTCTCTGTCTCTGAGGAACCAGCACATGGTTATAGTCACAAGTAGAGATTTTAAATTCACAAAACCTGGACTCAAATATCAGATTTATTTGTTCTAATCACTTAATCTATTTTTTTCACTTACAAAAAGAGGGAAAAATAATACCTTCTTCATAGGCATAGTGCAAACGGAGGACTCACCTAGTATCGTCCTCAATTAAGTATCACTGTTAGTCTCTGTCCTTAGGATTATCATTCCCTGTATCAGCTGGCTTTGCTGTCACTGGAATAAGATACCCAACTCCCGTAACTTACAGGAAGAGAAGGTTCATGTGGTTCATGGTTTCAGGGGAGTCAGTCCGTGGTTAGCTGGCCTGCGAGGGGAAGCAGCATGGTGAGAACGGATGGCGGAGGAAAGATGGCATCCACAGCAGGCAGAGGCGGGGCACGGGAACAGTGCAGAGGGGAGGGGACCACAGACGTGTGCGGCACCCAGGGCCAGCCTCCGGGACCCCTCAGACACACTGGGAGTGTGTCTCACTGATCCCCTAAGCAGTTCCCAGATCAGTCTAGCTGACAGTCCTACATGTCACACCAATCCTTGTAGCTTGACACCCACACAGGTCTCAAACTCTGCGTAATATCAAAATAAACACAACCACAAGTTACTAATTCCACCTTACAAAAAACAAATCTCTTGTGCGCAGCCAAAAATGAAATACAATGACATCTGTCATCCAACAGCTCCAGGCTCTAATTTTCCTCTACTCAAACAGCAAACTTTAAAAGAAAGTCTGCTCAGTGTGTGAACTTTGCTCAATAGTAGAATCGAAAACCCACCTTGAAAAAAATCCCTGTGCAGCCTGAGAGAGCCATGCGTCGTGTCTCCCCGCAACACAGAGGGGTGACTCTTCATTCTGAGCGTCTCCCTCCCAGACAACATTGAGTGCTTGTGCTGGTGCATTAAAACATTTGACATTATGCTGTTTTGTATGAAATATTGTAACCATGGCTCCAAGGACAGGGAGTCATCCAGCAACAAAGCTAAGAGAAAAACTGTGAGAGCCATGATAGAGTGAAAGAAATAAATCATTGTGAAATTGGTTAACGTCCTGGAAAAATAAATTTATAAGTGTAATTTTGGGGCCTCACAACAAATTTTGGGTTTTTGTTATTTCTTATGGGAAAAATACGTTCAGTTCTCAAACATTCTGGTGTTTGATCATGAATTTGTAACAAATGGAGTTTGACAACCGAGGTACCATTGTAATACTAAATACACTAAAGTCTCAACATGTCCAGAATTCTGAAAGTCAAAGTGTCTTCTGAAACTCAAAGTCTTACCTGTGAACGTCTGTAAAAATAAAATATAAGTTACACATTTCAGCGTGCAGTGGCTCGGGGTAAACATTCCCGCTTCAAGAGGGAAGAATAAAAGAATGGGAAAGAACTGGACCAAAGCAAGACTGAAACCCAGTAGGGCAGACAGTACGTCCTCTCCTCAGAGCCAAAACTGGTGGAAGTTGATTGGATTATGGGGTGCTACTGCTGGCTTGGTGTTACAGGTGGGGTCCAGTAGGAAAAATCAGGCTTCTGGGGTGTGACAGGGAAGGGAATATCTCCCTCTCTGCAACCACCATTTATTCTCTGTTTTCCGGCTGCCACGACATGAGCAGCTCTTGTTCCATGGTGTCCCATTGCACTGTGTGGATGACACAGAGGCTGCCGTCAGCAGGATCTGAAGCCAGGTCCCCTTGGACCAAGGCTGCAGCAACCTCCAAGTGTCTGGATGGCTGAATGCAGTGAAGAGATCCAGGGAGCCCATTTCCTAAGCAGCCCTTCTCAGCCAGGGCGCCAGGAACCTTCTTCACAAATGAAAGGTTAATACGTTTGTACCCTTGAGCCCGCAGTGGGTGTGGTCTTGCTGCTTTCTGGGGCGCCCTAAGATATTTTTCTTCTTGTTCCTGTACAAAGTGCTAATCTCTTCAGCAACCACATTTGCTTTGCCCCCAACTTTACATGTGGTCCCTTTTGATCCAAAATTTAAGTTTTTCAGATATTTCTTCTCTGCTCTATGCTCCTGGTGATCACTATAAATTTGCCTAAAGCAAACAGCAAAACCTATGCTACAGCTTAAATATTTCCTGTCCTGAAATCGCTTCCACTGGATTAGTTAGTCCACCATGTTTAATCTCAGTCTCTTGCAATGGGCAAAATGTAGACTTTTTTCCCAGACTGTAACACACATAGTCTTTAGTCTAATTGCCAATGAAGCCCTCACTCCTAACTCAAACCTAAAGAGCCTAGTCTACACAGAACCCACAATTTAGAAGAGGAGAGGTTGGATCTGTGCATGGTGTGTGGGGTTCTCTTTATGGTCTCCAGTGCAAAAGTATCATAGTGGAGGTGCATCACGGAGGAAATCTGCTCACCTCATGGCGGCCAGGAATCAGACAGAAGGAGGAGGAGCCAGGGAGGGTGATATAACGCCCAAATGTGTGTCCCCAGTGACACACCCCTTCTGATCCAGTCACCTTCCAAAGCCCCATCCATGAATACATGAGACTTCTGAAGGACATTTTCGGTCTAAATCCCGACAGAGGTGCTTCATCTCACAGATGGCTAGCCAGAGGAGAAACATGGCAGAGCGGTGTGGCAGGGCCAGAAGTTCAGTTACGGCAGCCAGGAAGCAGAACCAGGGATCAGAGTCAGAGAGGAGGGGGCCAGTGGGCAGATACTCATTACTTCTGTGATCCTGCCCTGTGCACTCAGAAGTGTCCGTGCATCCCCTAGGTGACCTTCAAGGCCATCAAAAAGGCAGTCTTAGCTATCACATGTCTACACTGTGCTGTCCAGTCTAGTGACCTCTTGAGGGATACATTCATTTACATTATTAAAGTGTAATCATTTCCTCAGCTGCACTAGCCACGTGTCAAATGCTCAGTAACCTCATGTGTCCAGTGGCCACTGTGCTGGACATCGTGAATGTGGAGCAGCCCCAGTGCGTGGCCAAGGTCCTCTGTATAGCTCTGTTCTGGAGGAAGATTTTCCACAGGACATTTAGAAATAGGACTTCTACATGTCAGCGGCCCTGAAGAGAAGAGGGACAGCAATCAGCTTTTGAGTTTCATCCTCAAGAGGCTCAGGTTGCTGCCTGCTCCCCGTCCCTGGAGATTCCGCAGCTGGAGTTGGGGCCTGAGAATTGGCGTCTAACAAAATTCTAGGTGCCACTGGTGCCCCTGGTCCATGGAAGATTCCCTGAGTAGTATTTCACCAGGGTGCAGCTTCTCAGCGCCCAGGACATTCTCAAAGACGGACACACAGCACCTCGTGCTAGAGTCTTTCCAGATTTCCTCTTCTCATACAAATAGGGAAAAGCAGGTGTTTTGCCACAGCCAAGGTAATCAGTGTCTTTTTATCATTATCTTGAAACTAACATATGCCTCCAGGTGTTCCCCATCATTACTGAAAACTTTGGGGAGTCCCCTGCAATTTTTCTTTTTGATAATTATGCTAGCTGGCAAGAAAGTTTTGAGTTTTGAACTTAGGCATTAGAAGAGGCCCCAAACCACCCAAATACTAAATTTAATAAATTTCTGTGCAACTATGCAACAATTCTGGGCCTGTTTCAGGAAAGGATGAACAAATCAAAAGGAATTTGCTTTAGCTTGCATTGTACGAATTTTGTAAACTCTTTTTCTTAATAACTGAGCTCTAGTTTGATAGGAAAATGGGAAGCTATTCATAGATTGGCTAAAAGAGAATAACAAATAATTCCATGAACTGAGAGAGCTGAGCGCAGAAGAAATTATGAGCCTGAACAAAGGTGTAACCCAGTTACAATTTGAAAGATGCCTGCAGATGGGTGCAAGGAGGCTTCTATTTTAATTAGGGTTTCAATTACCATAGTAATGTACTCAATTTATCCTTTATAGACTGAGAACCTCTCTAGATAACTGATTCCATTATATAAAGGCCATAAATACCGTTTAAGGTCAACTGGAATCAAATGTAATCACAACCAGTTAATAATTCACAATAACCGGTGGCATAGCTTTAAAGTTCAAACCCAGAGGGAAACCGAGGAAGTATGTTCAGGGCCCCTTTGATATTCTGCGGGTGAAGACTATGGGGAAAGGGGGGTCAGGATGGGCAGCCGTCAGTGTTGCAGTGCCTGTCCTCGATCGTGGTCAGACTGGAGGGCCGGCAGAGAAGCAGGCTCCTGTGCAGGACGAGGGAGAAATCAGCCCTCTGGAGAGGTTGAAAGATGACGAAGACACTCGGTGAAGGGACACGTGCTCTCGTGAGAGCTCTGACCGAGAGCCACCTTGCTGTGTGAGCACTAGAGATCCCCCCTTTCCCCCCAAGCTCTGAAGGTCTCCCTCCCTGAACTGTCATCATCCATGGGGAAGAAGCTGAGAAATCCTTCGTCCTGGCCTAACCCTCACACCCCTACAGAGTAAGCATCGGAGCACTGGACAAAAGCGTGAGACAGGCTGGAATGCACTTGACTTTTGAAAGTGGAACATATTTACCTTTCTAGACTTTTGCTTTGTCCTATAATATTAGTGAACTCTTCCTGCTCCGCCAGTCTGTGCTAAGCTTGAATGCAGTAAGGTTTAGAGAGCTGAGCCTAACTAGTGGTGATGGAGCAAGTTATCAGTTAGTATTTCTTTTATTAATGCTCCCACCCCTCCAGAGAGAAAGTGTCCTGAGTTCCCTAAATCTCATCTCATCATAGATCAAAGCCTGGGTCAGTGGAACTACCAGGGTGGGTTAAAAATCCAGCCTCACTCCTGATGTCCTTTTCCAGAACTCTCAGATTAAGAGTAAACGATGTGTTCACAGCTCCTCCCAAGTAGGAGCTGGAATCCTGGTGCCTGTCCTGCTGTCCAGGTCAGAAGCTTGAAGAGCGGGGCTCTTCCTAAATGCAGTGAGAGTCTCCAACAAAGCTGGCACTCAGCTTGAACCTGGGTTTCCTTTTGTCCTTCTGGCAGGAAGAGAACCTCATGGGTGCTACTGCCAAGGTCCCCTCACAGAGCCAGGGGAGGGCACGCCATCCTCCATAGAAGGTGCCACACCTGGCATCTGCTGAGCAGCAGCTTCTTCAGGACTGAAGGTCTTGGGGAAATTGAAAGATCCCCGTTATGGCTTATATGTGGGCGTCCCCTGAAGCCTCATGCAGTCATAGTGGAGCTGAATGTGGGTGTGTGATGCTGGGATTAATGGTGCAGTGCTGGGGTTAAAGGCACCCCACCCTGAGTGTGGTGCTGCCCACCCCTAAAGGCGGGCAGCCTGAGGGGAATGCAGGACAGAAGGACGGCTGTTGCCATCACTTGCTGCTGCTGCTGCCGCCGCTGGTTGCTGCTCAGCTGCCGTCTGCCTCCCCGCTTTGCCATGGACTGTTTCTCCTCTGCCTGCGCCTCTGCCCTGCTGCCCTGCCGTGGAGCCAGCCAGCTGTGGTCTCGACCCCTGCACACTGTGAGCCAAGTACACCTTCCCTCCTTTAACTTCAGGGGTCAGGTATTTTTGTTTCGGCAACGAGAAAAGCACCTTCGTTAGGCCTTTTTAAAATAAAAGCTACATGATTTTTATACAGTTCATTTCTATCTATTAACCTGGGTAATAATGGGAGAACGCTTGTTTCTTTCACCCAGTGGCAGAAGCGACAATGTGTGTGCAGTGTGAGTGTCAGTGTGTGTATGTGCGAGTGTGTATGTGAGTGTGTGTTGAGAGTGTTGTTGGTGAGTCAGAGGTGACTTGCTTTATTTAAATCAAGTGTTTGTTTATTCTGGCTCAAGACAAATCACGTGACCACTGAAAGGCAAGTCCACCTCCCTATGTGTTGTCAGATGGCCAGGAAGGGCTAGAAGCCAGAAAACATTCAGCAAATCCCAGCAAAGTGAACTGATTTGTTTCTACCCCTCAGCTACATTCATGGAGTTAACTTACAGCGTCAGAGTCAATCCAAGGGCAACGTCTTCATGAGCAATCACTATCTGTGTACTGTAGTAAGAAATCTGTGCCAGGTCCTGCGAGTAAGGGGACTGGATGTCCCGAGTGAGTGAGTGAGAAAATGGACTGACGAGCTGACCTCTATCATATTCACTCTCCCTCAGCTTGCACCTACAAAAACCAGGAGTGTCGCCTGACCGTGCATTACGAGAATGGGTTTACTCTTAGCACCGAAGCCCAGGAGGGTGCCTTTCCCAAGACAATCATCCAGTCTCCTTACGAGAAGCTCAAAACATCTTCAGACGACGGAATCCGGATGCTGTATTTAGATTTTGGAGGCAAAGAAGGAGAGATTGTAAGTGCACTTTTCTTACGACCGTGTGATTTCATGTTTCATTGTTCTGTATTCCTAGAATGACCTGTGAACATAAGACTGTCTTACATTTTTTAAGCATTTGACTATTAACAAAACACCTGGAGGCTCACATTTCATTTGATCCTTGAAAAAACAGTGATCAGATTTGATTGTTTCAAAGCTCGTTGTTTGGCTTTCATTTTTTGTTAGAAAAATACACCAATATTTGGATCAAAAGGGAAAAATCCTTTAACAAAGTTAGCATTAAATTCATCAAGTGGCATCTCACCAGCTTAAAAAGTGTGCTGTTCATTTTCAATGAGTATCCAGCAGGATTATAATCCTGGCATCATACCTGGTTTTTGAAGAGGTGGGAGAAAAACTAAGGCTTATCCTGCCATCCAGGAGGTCTCTGAGGAGCAGAAAGGTGACAGCCAAGGGTGCTGGACAAGGGGCAGAGGAGAAGGAAAGGAAGAAAACTGACCGACTCCATCCAAGCGAAGAGAAAGATGAGGGCTCAGGAGTTTCAGACGAATGTTCAGTAAGATCCATCAAAGTTGGCACATTTTCCCAGTAAGGCACACACATTCCACACAGTGCAGTTAGTGTGTGGGTGTCAGCACATGATTCCCAGGATCGTTGCTACCTGCCTTCGTGGGAAACCCATTCCTTAGCTGTGCAGAGTACAAGAAGGAACCTTTTCCTCTTTCAGACGCCTGGAGTTCTTGGTGTTCATCAGGAACCCACAGCATCTCACGTGAGCCATCAGGTCTAGAACTTGAGCGAAGCCCTTGATGTAGTGTGACCTGCTCTCCTCAGGTCCTCCCTGGCCACTCAGACAACAGCTGGCTGTTGAACTCTCTGTGGTAACAGCAGAGCCTAGCATTTCTCTCTGGCCGGGGCCCTCTGCACTGCCCTCCTTGCCCCTCTGCCCACAGCTATTCATCGTTTCTCCCAGGGGACACGTTGGGAAGGTTCTAGACCAGGTCACCCAGGAGGGCTGGAGGAAGGAAAGGCCCAAGAATGCATTTAAGAGAGTCAGAGGGCCCTGTGCCTCCAAATGTCACCTCGCTGTTCTGTGTTGAGGGACGGTACTGACCCCAGGGCAGGGCCGACCCCGGGCTGCTGTGGCAGTTGTGAGGACGTCCGTGCCCCACGGCAGACAGTCACTGCCGCGCAGTTTCCGAGAACTCTTAGCGCCCAGCCACGGTTCTGACCTTCGCAGGCAGCCAGAGCTTTGCTGGAATTGTTTTGTTTGTGTCTTTCAGTCTTGACACGCAGCCCGAAGCACCTGTTTGGAAATAAAGCAGTGCCTTGAAAGCCCGTTTTACTGACAATTCCTCCAGCTCTCTGGCTGCTCCGTCAGTCACCCCACTGCGTCCTTTTTCCTAAAGGTGACTGCTCTCTGACAATGTGGAAAAGAACGAGAATCTGTCTCCTGTTCTACCCTTGGCTTAAAAATTCAAGGCTATTTTTGCCCAAGAGGAAAATCACTTCTGTCTAAATTTCAGCCTTTCTGCCTGTAATTACAACCTGACTTGAAGATTTAGAAAGGATTGGGGTTTTTTCTTTTTCCACCATGGTACATTAGGCTGGTAAGCCAGGCTCAGACACAGCCCCCAGGGTGCAGAGAAGCGAGCCCAGCAGGCAGTGCAGGCTTCCCGGGGTGGAGAAGGGAGAGGGATGGTGTCACAGCACAAGCCGCAGTGACGTCACCTTCTCCTGCTTCTCTCTCTGAGCCTGCAGGCTGCTCACCAGCTATCCTGGGAAACCCCTTTTATTCTTGGGCTCTGAGTCTCCCCTTCCACAAAATACAGGATTGAAGGAGATGGCCTTCCACTGCACTTCTGAAAGTCACCTTCCACGCTAGTGGCATAGAATGTGATGGTCGATACGATCACAAAGGAGCCGTAATCCGTATGCCTTGCCGCAGGCGGCTCTGCCCCACCGCTGCTGCATGTGTGACCCTCCCCTCGGGTGTGCAGGACAGTCCCATCCATGGGTCAGTACGAGCCACCCAGGGAACAGTCTAAGCAGCTGGAACGTGTTGAACCCTGGCTGTGGCATCAGACAGACCTACGTCACTGAGTCCTGGCTTTCTGTTTACTGCGTGACCTGTAGTTTCAGAAGGCTTGTGTCTGGAAATCTTAACTTTTCCATACAAAACTGGAGAAGACACAGCTGCTTCATAGGGGTTTCACGAGGAGAATTAAATAGCAGTAATGGGTAGCACAGTACTGATTTATATTGAGAACAGTCCGGGTAAAATAGCCTCGTAGGCACCTTGTTCCGCATTGCTGAAGTAGGTCAGGTGGTAAAAGCAGCTTTGGAGGGACTCTCACCGTCAGCGGCCTTTGTGCTGGTTCCAGGGAGCCCTCACAGGGAGGGGGAGACTGGAGAAGTCGTGGCCTTCACGTTCACGGTGGTTCTGGGGTACAGGACCCTGAGGACAGCCCCTTAGCGCGGGTTCTGGGTTTGCAGTATGCAGGGCGTCACACACCACATCCTAGGCTCTAATCACCCTGTGCGGGAGGAGGACAGAAGAATTTTAAGTGACTCGGCCCAGAGCACACGTCTCTAAAGTGTCGCACCCAGGACTCGGACTAATCTTCGGGTGTGAGATTTAATTCAACCTCCTACTCCACTGCAACCTACATAAATATCTCCGTCATGGAACCAAAAATAAATGATTTCTACAGGCAAAAAGAGCAACATCAATATTTATGGGCTTGGTATAGATAAATCACACAGAATTTATTTTAGAAAAAATATACATACGAGATGTAAGGAACAAGTTCAAAGTTACTTGTTTATCTGGTTGCGGGGCAGTCATTGTACAGCATAATTGCTCCAGTTAGCCCTGAAAAGCTGCAAGCGCGTTAGAGCCGTTTGATGTGGAAATCACTGCTCTGAGTCAGGCATGCTGCAAAACTTTCTCACGCGCGCTCTGTCTCTCTGTGTTCCGTTTTCAGCAACTGGACCTTCACTCCTGCCCCAAGCCAATTGTCTTCATCATCCACTCCTTCCTGTCGGCTAAGATTACAAGGCTCGGCTTGGTGGCTTGAGCAGAGGGCAGCTCCCCTTAGATGCCACCAGGGACTGACACTGGACACCGCCTGCCCGGAGCCGCGTACCACATGCAGCATGGGAGGGCCGGTTTGGGTCGGGGAGTCGGTGTGACGCCCCGGCTCCTCCGGTCATAACCACAAGGGGCCCCACGGCTACCCAAGGACACACCACAGGCGGCATCAGAATGGCACTTCTCAGGGCAGGCAAGGTGGGAGAGGTGAGGGCGACTGAGTGTACATAGCATAGCTTCCCCATGCTGACCACCAAGGACAAGGCCGTTGTTGTTGGAACGGCAGGTGCAGATCGTAATCAGACCTGTTTCTAGGCAACGGGGTGGCCAGGTGAGCAAGGGCTGAATAGATGGGAAATGGATATTTTCACCCACTTCCCCCACCCTAGGATCAAGGGTCAACTGGCTTACTGCAGTTTATTCCCTGATTCCAGTCGACTTGACTGTCACTGATAGGGAAAGAAAAATTCTCCAAACAGAAACCCACTTTTTATGTAAGTAGGAAGCAGCTGTTACTTTTTTTCTTTTCTCAATGAATTATCTTTTGGCAGTGTAGCATGACTCCAAAGTGTTCTCAGTAGCATATGCTGAACGGGAATTAAATAAAGCACCAGATACCGATCAGAGCTGTAAGCTGGCACAGTCGGAGCCAGGGTACATTGCTTACATGGCACAGCTTTGCCAAAGAGTCGGGTGCACAAAAGCTGATTAATTCTGGGGCAGCAGTCACACCAGGGCATGCTGTCTTGTGCCCAAGACTGATAGCTTTACTTAGAGGAGACAAATTATGCGTTTCTAAAGATTGTCATCATATATGTGTCCACACACACCCCACAGGCATGGTTGAGGGCATCAAATTGTCCCCATATCACGGTCTCGTGGGAAGTGTGAGCTGCTGCAGGTGACCTTGTTGGCTCTTGTGCTTGCATGCTGCATTTCCAAACAGTAACGAACAGTCTCGTTTAATTCTGCACGATGCTGGCTCATGTGGAAGCGCTTCACTGTACCCACCTCTACTGAGAGCATCTACAGCTCTTTGCTAATCCCAGGGAAATAATACAATGACATGATATTTTTCTAGAAAAATATTTTGGGCACAGTGGAAAGCACATCACTGAATCAGTGCTTTTCCTTCTCATAATTCATTCACTAAAAATAACAACACCCATTATTCAATGTGAAAGTTACTTTTCTCAAACCTTGAAAAGAAGCCCTGGAACTTCTAGAGGTGTCTCTGCTGCTGCCGCTTCCCCTGTGGTTTATGCAGATGAATGGACTGTGATAGGCCTGTGTTGTCAGCATGGTACTTTAGCAAATGCCTATGCAAAGAGGTTTAAAAAGTGAGTTTGTTTACAAGAATGCAGACTTGTTCCCTCAGATGTGCATGCTTCTCGAGGCGCAGAATTTTACTTTAAATCCACCATTTCTGCAGCGTACCCTTCAGAAGACACCAGCCCTGCTAGAGCAGTGTTGGGGCTGAGGGCGAGGTCCGGGAGGAGCTCGGTAATAGAAATCTTTGTTAAACACCGAGTTTAGCATTGATGAATGGGTTTCATGGCTGCTGGCCACCTCCAAACTTTAATGTCCATTGTGATTCTCTGAGAGGGGCAGCTGGGGTGCCCTTCACATTAACCTCCTTTCTTTCTTCTTGAACAGCTCACGAAGCTAGCATTTTTTGGTTTTGTTTGAAGTGTATGTTTGCAACACATAATAACTACAGTTATTTTGGGGACTTGGTACATGTATATAGCACGTCTTGATCATTTTTGATTCCTTATTGTTTTTTAAATGATCCTTTAAAAAAAACCAAAACAGCAGCTTGAGGATATGGACTGTGTTTTTTCTTGTTTTTACAATATTGAAGAGTGAAATCTAAGCTTAAATACTGTAGGAAAGCACTTAAGCATTTGTAAAACATACTCTTTCACTATAAATTTTCAGAATCACTGGAATGTTGTTATACAAGAAAATTGTACTTGTCTATTGTAAATAACACATTAAAATGCATATATTAATGCCAATAGCTTAATTCAACAATATATAATTTCAGGTGCTCGGTACTACATGAAGTATGAGTTAACCCCTCATAACTAAGTTGCAAAGATTCTATTATATATTTATAGACAAATTAAAATAATCACAGTTGCAAATACATCATCCTTGCTTAAGTTTTGGACTGATTGAGATCTGTGTGAGAGCCAACAGAAAACATACCCTTTACATTTATAAAAATTTAATTTAAATATTTATATTTTAGGGAAAACATATTTGAATAAAATTAATGCATTTTCTGGGGTAAATTAAAATGTTACTAGCAAGAAATAGAAAATTTTACTAAGAGAGTTGTAAATATGAATCATTTTTCTCTCCTAATTAAAATGTATCCTACCCAAGTGGCTGTGATGAATCTATTTCTAATGTTCATTTTTTTTTCTCATTTTGAGTCCTAAAAGTTACGGTGACTTTATACTGTTTCCACTTTGAGTTGAGGTGTGGTGGTTGAGTGTGTGACACCAATGGTGAGTTGAGTGTGTGACACCAATGGTGAGTATCGCTGTGTGGGTCAGGGATAATGAAGTGTTTTGAGTTATTTGGGGGATTTTTTTCCAAGTTGCTCTGTGCTCAGTTCTGTGAATTAATTCACCATGCTGGTCACTAAGTGAACGTCAGTATGCTTAAGTGATATTTTAACGTGCACTTGGTGGAAAGCTGCCCATCGGTCTCAGGAGTGTGAGCTCTCCAAAAACCACAGTACAACAGTAGGAATATAGATGTGACGGCTCTGCTACTTAAACTCAGGAGGAGAAATAAAACCTCAGGCTTATTACAGAATACCCAGACAGAGGCATTTGTTAATTCCATCAGTTCATAGCTTTAACTTTATGACTATGAAATGTTCCATATTGATGGGATCAGAATAGCCTGAGGTGAGAGAATAATTTTTGGATGTACAGTGAGTTTTTTCTCTTAAAAAAGGTGCCTGTTCATAGCACCATGAAATCATGTATGATTTACATATGAGCTAAAGTGTCACCTGGTTTTCAGTGCAGAAATTTTTATTCTAAATATATAACATAGTAGACTGGATCATATGTTAGTCATAGAGACTGTGAAGATAAACCCTGCTGCCAAGATTAGGTGTGCTAGTGGCTGAGGGGATGCCACTAGCAATTCTTCATGGGTTTTCCCCAGAAATTAACTTAATATATATAGGCTTGATCCCACTGCAGCGAACTTTGAATGACTATCAGGGCCCTGGCCGTGGACCACTGATCTCCTGCTCAGAGGTACAGTGACGGAATAAAGCACAGACAAAATATATACACCGTGATTCCCAAAGGCACCAGGATGTCCAAAGCCCAGTGACGGGCTAGGATCATGAGGCGCTGTGTCCTGGGCCTTTATTAGGTGCACAGCGTGATGGGGGTGAGCTGTTGGGCCACAGGATGCGGTGGGTGAACCGCTCACGCCGTCAAGGTTCAGGGACTGAGGGACAACGCATATTTGGAAAAGCACCCAGGAGCAGAGTGGGGTTAACTGGTGACCTGACTCTGCTCCTGCCACCACTGAGCTACAGGGAATTTGCACGAGTTATGTCCTCAGCTGAGGACGTGTCTTGCTCTGAGGCACCAGAACTTCACAGCCTATTGGCTGGTCTTGGCTCTGGCCGTTGTCTTAAAGATTCATCTGTCCTTAAGCCAGCCGGGGGCCTCGCCATGAGTCATGTAGGCCTAGGGCGGACTCTCCATTTATTTTGGGGCCAGTTTATTAATGTTAATTACTGCCTGTTGTGTACTGTGTCAAGCTGATCCTCAGCAAATGACTGCCTAAAATACTACCATTGTCCCCAATTGTTAGTGGAGTATCATTTCAGGATAGGTTCTCATGGACGACTTGGGGCTCTCGATTTGAACTGTTTTCAGAGGCTCTGACCTGTACAAATACTCAAGATTCTCTGTGGTGCACTACAATTAGCTTGCAGTAAATGTAGCTGCCTGGAATCTAGAAAGCCTTTTTACAAGATGAAATTTTAACAATATTAAAATTAGATTCAGAACTACAGAATTGGTTTTGAAAGATACTAAAGTTAGGACGGACATTTCTGGCCCAAGTTCATGGTTTCAGCAGTACTACCTTTGTATTTTAAACTGTATAATTTGCTAGTAATACAGCAACATAGTGTATACATAGAAAAATGAATATGCAATAAATCAGAATTTTTTCAAAAGTTTGTACCACCTAAAGCTACTATATATATATATATATATATATATACACACACACACATGGTCCAGTTACTGTGTTTTGAGGAACACTGACTTTGTAACTAAACTCAGGAGTCTCTCCTTGAACATCTTTTAACTTGCTCATCCAGCCTGAAATTGAAAATTTCCAGCTCCGAGGAGGCGCTCTTATCTCTCCAGGCAGACCCCCTCCACTGCTGGCTCGCTGAACTTGCCTGAAAGATGTTATGTTTTTAGAGCCAAAACCTCCATCTGCCCAACCTCCAGTCTTGACCCTGGTTTTACTCTGGAAAACAATGAAAGTCCAGTTTTTCTCCCACGTGAATGTCCTACGCACAGAGACAAGTCAAGGCTGAAGCTACTGCATAATTCAAAACGATCTGGAAGGGGCTTGGAAATTCCTCGCGTTCATCTTTAAAGAGCCAGTTAAGCAAGATTAAAACGTTCGCCAATACCTAGTGACAGCTGGTAGTGGGAAAACACATTTATACAGCCTTCGGGAGGTGTCCATTTGGCAGTAACTTGGTGGGCGATTTGGTAACATCCATAAAAATTTTAAAATGCATGGCCCTCTTGACCTGTGGTGATTACTCTAGAGATGTGATTGTTCAGGTGCACAGAGGCTCATCTTCGTAGCACTGTTTGTAACACGAGGCTGAAAAGCAGGTAAGACCATCCATAGCCCCGTGAACCCTGGCCTGCAGCTATGCTGGAATGTTCTGCAGCGCTAGGTCGCGGTCAGAATAATGCTTCCATGTTCAGACCCTGCAAGATGCAAGTCTTCCATGTGTATTTCCATTTAAAGTGGTTTTCAGAAGACTCACATGCGCTGCCCCTCCCTGCAGCTCACAGGCAAGGCGGGAAATCATGTCAGTGCGGTTTGGTTATCACCATGACTGGGTCAGAGGCCCCCCCAGTGGTGTTTATGAGCAAGAGCAGAGCCAATAGATGCCCTGCTGGTGCTGCTCTGTGTCACATGGGCACTTCCCAGTCCATATTCTGGGTGTGTCCTCCGGTCATCATTCAGGTGACACCCCATTCGGGATGCACTGAGCTTAGACCTTGACTTCATTTTATACAGAAGATACTTTGAGTCAGTATGTTGTGAATTTTCTAAATAAGCAACTGCCAGGTACATGGAAGAAATTCTGAGGTTCTGGATGGCTCGGTCCATTCTCAGAGGTTGCTCATACTTAATAAACGAGAAACAAGTCTGTCTGCGGTTCCCGCTCACCAGCACAAACCTCCACTCCCTGCTGCTTCCGTCCTGGCACCAGCTGATGACAGCCAAGCATTTGGCTACTTCGTCTTATCTCCTAGGCCAGGGTGCCCCAGCACATGCATAATAGAAACGCATATTATTTTATTATCAGTACTTTCCTTTTGCAAAAGCTCTTTACCTTGCAGTTAGGAGAAGGCAGCTTGTAGGAGTCTCCAGGATGTGTGGGGCATCCCTTGCCTGGCACAGCCTTCCTCCCACTCGTTCCATGCCATTGTCTCCTCCCAAGCGTCCCACTGCCACTCAGACTTGGGAGCCGCACACTGGCTCTGCTGGACCTAAGCCTTGTTGCTTAGAGCAAACCGGTGGCCGCCACCTCCACTTCTGCCCATCTGCTGTCAGGAGGAGGTGTGTACTGCGGTTTGGGGTTCCGTCCTCGCCGCCAGACTCGGATGGAAGCCACAGCACAGGGCACGGGCAACTGGGTTGCTGAGCAGGTTGCTGAGCCGTGCAGGACAGGAGAGATAAAGACTCAGCTGCAGCGCAGATAAGAAGCCCTCTTCCTCCCCTCTGTGTCCTGGGTTTCTCTGTCCACGGATGACCCTGAGACGCCGTGTGACTGACACCTGCTTTGGAGGGCCTGGCTGTGTCTCTGGGTGTGGAAGGGCACTAAGGTCACCTCGCCTTGCTCGCCTGTGTGCCTTTCTTAACACCCCCAGTGCTCAGGATTGAACCTCAAACACTATCTGCACCAGTTGTGTGTTCCAGGGAGCTTGACCTAAGACCCTTGTGATTTCACTCGTGACAGCAAAGGGAACGTTAACATGACCTCACAGGAGGCTGTTGGGTGTCATCAGTGGGGAACGTGGACGATTCGGAGCTTAAAGAGTGTCTTAGTTACTTTTTACTCGTCGCTGAGACAAAATACCCGAAGCCCAAGTTGGGAAAGGAAAGGTTTATTTCTTACAGTCTTTGGAGGTTTCAGTCCACACTCAGTTGGCTCCCAGGCAGGCGGGCATGGCTGGGCTGCCTTTCATGGCGGCTGCAAACAGCAAAGTCGAACCAGCAAAGAGAAAGACACGCCTTCTTCCTGCCATTACATCACATCCTAGCTCCACCCCTAAGTGGCTGTAGCACTAACACCATCAATCCAAGCACTATACAATGAACGAATAACAAATGCACAATTCAAACTCATGAGGCCTGGGGGACACAGACATAAACCATGACAAAGAGGTCTCCTGCTATATCAGTCCCTTCAGGAACTGGGACCCGGAACCATGGGCGTGACCTTAGCATCCTTCTTTATTTCATGAGCTTCTTAAATGTGCATCTAAAATTCGCTTTTAAAAAAGGGTTTGTGTGTGTGCTTGCACGCACAAGTGTATGTGTGCACACGCTTGTGTATGTGTGGCCAATGTTCTGAGCATGGTAAATAATATTTTTGAAACCTGTTTATACAAAACCTTGAATAATGGAACTATTTGACAGAAATCAATTTAATCTCACCCACAGTCCTCTAAATTACACTAAATTTGATTTCACTGGGGGAAGCAAGACATTAAAATGATTAGACCATGTCCCAGGAGGGTTGGTATCACTTCTTTTTTTTTTTTTTACAATATTCACTTGGCTCCAATTCACATTTGAATGATAACAGAAAAGCAGCAGGAACCTCCATTTTGGCCATTGTTCTCTCCTCCATCCGTTTGTCAGCTGATCATAAACAAGGCCTTTTCCCGGGAGGGTGGGCAGAGATCAGCACAGTGGGGGATGGTGAGGGATGGTGGACAGTAAGGAAGCCCTACAGGGACAAGAGGCAGGAGAGGGACCTACTTTGCACTCCACCTCTCCATTGCTACTGGCAGCCAGGCGGAAGAGGCACACAGTGCTGGAGCCCTCCAGGCTCAAAAGGAAGCCTACCCTGCTC